GAGTGGATAAAAGCTTGGACACAGATCTAACAATGTGAGCAACTGCTATAGAACTGTGCCGTATGGCGCACTCATTGTGGCATATATTAGACGCCATGAGTTCAGTTACTGGGATTAAGCTTCGCATTTACATCATTATCAATAGTTAATTTATGTAAAAACATGTAAAAGTTGTGATGTAAACATGGGGGAAAATCACTTTCCTCACAGGGCCTTATACCTTCATTGGAGGACCACATTTGACCCACTGGTCCCTATTTGCTTATACTGCTGATCACGGGAATCAAATATGACATTACACTGAACATTTAGTCTACAATTCAACAACCTTATTTACCTGCAAATCGATCTTTAAGTCTTTTAACTATTCCTCAAAAGGTCTACATTCATCGATGATTTCATGCTGTACTCATGGTTTTTGAAAATTCATATTTTAATATTTACTGGACTACTGGTTCCCAGCAGCTGATTTAATACTGGAAATCTGCTTATTAACTCAACACAATTAAATAAAATATAAGAACTTTATCAAAACATAGTGTACCTGTAATTAATACATTTATTTACTGAAAACTTCCAAGGAAATTCAGAAGAAATGACAGGAGCAGTAAAATAAAGTGTTACCAAAATGGGTCCAACAATAGTTTTTTCCTCATTACATTTAGCAGTGACATATTACTAATGTAAATGTATAGGAATTCTTCATCCTTAAGATTAACGATACAGTAAACGTCAAATTAGGAAGGCATGTGATCCCTCATGTCCCTTGATTGTGTCATTACAAAGACAGAATACCTTCCCTTTTTAATCCACCTTGATGTGTCCGTATGTTTGTGTTTGTCATTATACGTGTGTAAATTATGCTTCCTCCCCCGCTACCTCAACCGCGGTTTTCTGTCGTCCATGAACACACCGGGCCTCTCCTCCTACTCTCATCATCAGCGTCAATCTGTGGCTGTCACTTGGAGCCGGACAGTGACTAACGACACTCCCAGTCAGTCAAACACTTATCACCACACAGGTAACACACAGGCCTGGAAATGACTGACATGAAATGGAAACGTCTCTCATTCTGTGGGCCCGGGAGCTGAAGTGAAATATTAGCTGTGGGAGAGATGGCAGATGATAAGAGGCTCCCTGTTTGGGCTGGAATTGTGGAGGTCCAAGTTCTATTACATTTCTTTTTACGCTGAGGAGAGGCATGAAGATCCTGTTTTCTTGGATAAAGGATCGTTTCCCTTTTCCATTTCCTTTCTTATATGCACCTTTTCACTATTTTCTTCACAATATGCTTCAAATTTGCCAATGAGCCACACTCTAACTTTCATGATGAGCTATTTGTGACTTGTTATAGTAGCAAATGGTGCTCATAGCCAGTGGTGCATTGTTGGTACATAAGCCATTGTCCCTGAGGCTTTCTGTGGTCCACAGAACCAGACCATAGGCCAGTTAAAACCAGGCTGCAGCCCGCTCAATGTCAATGGGTCACATATGCTTACACTGTTTCTCCTATTACTCATAGACTCCAGCATGTCCTCCCTCATTTTCTTTCTCTCACACATCTCCTTCATGCACACACACACACACACACACACACACACACACACACACACACACACACACACACACACACAATTCCCTCTGTGCAGAAAGATGGATGGGATGTTCCCAAACCACAGGTGCTGCTCTACTTGTGAGTCTTTCGCATTCTTCACCACACAGTCCAGGCCTGCTCAGTTTTTTACTTTTTACTGTTTTCCCCAGTGGTGATTACTATGGTACTTCAGTTGTGGATAATGAGGAGCATGGAATATTAGTAATACAGTATACGATCAATCTGCCTGTCTATTTGCAGCTCTTTGGGAATGAGATTCTTTTGCAAGAACTAGACAAACCTCATGAACTTGAAACTTTGATGTCCAACGCTGCTCACCAAGACATGGCATCCTATCCAGACAGCCACTAGATGGGGTTAGTTTCATTTCCAACTTGTGAGTTTGCTGGTAACTTTCCCTGAAACCTAAACCACATTCTTACTCTACTGTGCAAGCTACGCCACCTTGTGGTGGATATTATCAGTCGCCTATAATAAAATAAAGCAAAGCTCACACTATCAAAATCAGTTTTATTGTCAAGTAGGTTTTCACATACAAGGTAAATTGGTGCATAACAATAACAGTAAACATAGACAAATATAAAAAACAGATATAGAGACAATAAAAAGAGACAATATATAGAAATATAAAAGACAATATGTACAATATGAGTATGTGTGTGGTTGATGCGTCAGCCGGACAGTGATATGCAGGGAGTGAACAAAATAACACATTGATTCCAGGGGGTACTTGGAGAGAAGTAGTTCAGCTAATTTGGAAAAATAGAAGTTATGATTTCTTTATATTTACCCATACATTTTGTGTTTAGGAGGAAAATAAACACTCAAATGGGATCAGAAATTGGTGGGATATAGACAGAGTTGCCATGTTATGCTCCTTTATGCTTCTTTTCCAATGCAAGAGGCAAATGTTGCACTTTTTACTCCATTGTATTTATAACCCAAAAGCAGTGTCTAACTGGGGCCCCTTGTCCTGTTTCAGATGTGTCAGGATTTTCAGAGTGATTTCCCCTCTAAACCTCTCAGTTTCACTTAGGTAACGGTTTAACACTGAAAGAAATCATATAATATAATATTTGAGACATAAAAAAGATGTGAAAAATGTGTCAAAGACTTTTGTTTCTTCTTTCAGATTTATCAGATTTGGTCATTGGGAAGACCCTGACCCTTAGGTTTACTGGACTAAACTGAATCTAAAGTAGTTAAAACTAGCTCTACCTGAACCAGCTAGAACAGCAAAATGCTGCTTACACATTGATGCATCAGTAACAAATTATGTCATATATAGTAACATATCTATCACAAGGGACTTTTTACTGCAGAACTTTTACTTTTGCTTTTGTTAAAACTTCTGTATTTTTCTTTGGTAAGGTAAAAATACTTAAAGTGGAGTGGAGTGTACTTTTTGTGGTATTGGTAATTTTACTTTAATAAATAGTACCTCCACAACTGCTTTCTGATCCTAAGTAGATTTATTTGTACAGTAGTCAACTATGGTCCCTCGGAGCACCTTATCATTAGGTGTTGAGATTGAGTGTACTTAAAAACTAGTTAGCAAAAAGCCTCCAAAAACCTAAAAAAGTAAGGATAAATGATTATATTATTATAATCCAGTTTCTTTCCGTACAAATGGTGGTTGTATAAATGCAATCTTGGCTGACTACTAAAACGCAAGCTTAAACATCAACAGAAACACTATGCCTTGTATAAATCCAATCAAACAATTGACAGGGTATTAAAAAGGGGGTACTCCTGCCCATCTGATAGGACTGGTGGGATACATCAGATAAGAGACAAAAGTGAGGCCATAGCTTTGGTCGGTGCTGAACTGAACTGTATCATATTGTGAGGTCAGTCAATCAGTTGTTCTCATACTGAACTTATTTAGGGTCAAACAAAATCTCATCTACCAACAACCCTATTATTTACAACATAAGTTATGAAACAAGAAGATAAATTGCGTTTTGCAATAGGGTATGACACATTGTTTCAATTTCTCCTTTTTTAAAAGAGTCATGAGAACCACCTCTCAGATTAAACTGGAATACACAAACATATTCAGAATATGCTAAAGATGTGCTGAGTAGTAATATTGCCATTAGTGCTCTCCAGTTAGTGCAAATTAAAGACATTTGCCCCGGTCCCCAAGGACATCCATAGTGAGGCCTCAGTTCTGCAGTTAAGCAGGAGCATGTTGTTATTCACTTGGCCGATTTCCTGTCGTGAGAGAAAGAAGGAAAATGAAAAAAATGTGGTCTCACCTGAATTCAGCAGGTAGGCTGATCTTGTCTGGTGCCACAACCTCAGTGGCCACAATAACATCCCAGGTTTTGTTTTTTGCACCTGATGTGCCAGACTGTATCTCAAATGTACTCTGTTTCTCTTGTTTTCTTCCTCCAGCTGTTTCTTCCTTTTGCCTCGATATGTGCCAGTAGATATACAATAATATAAAAATTGATAATGAAATTCAAAATATTTTAATTTAACTTCCAGCCTTAAACCACCTTCAATCGAACATCTAATGAGCACACAGTATATCGGTCTTAGACCTTTTAATGTGTAAATATGGGGTTGATTTGTTTTGCACTGTGGAGATAACAAAGACAGAACTCAAGATGCAGACCTCAGACCTCAGCTGGTTTTTTTTTAAATTTCAGATTGATGTCAGATTGATTGCCACCATTTCTGTGTGGGGGTGTCACGAAGCTGTGATTATGCGACATAGACCTCATCGCCCACAGCTCACCCGTCACAGAGGATTGAAAAGCGCTCCACCAGCCCACCATTTAGACTTGCATGGCTTTGATGTTTTCCGATTTTAGTGGCACAGGCCACACAAGTAAAGAGATGTCCTTTTCTGCTACATGTTGCAATGAATTTCATGCATATTGTGTGGCTTTTACTAAAAAACAATGCATCCAAGCATTCAGTGTGCTTCGAAAGTTGTGGCTGCACGTGGTTCTCATGGCAGTGTCTATCTGTTTGTCTGTCTACCACCTGTCTGAGCTACAGCCGTTGTGAGGCCATTGTGGGAAACTTCTTCTCACGGCAGTTTGAATGGGCATCCGTACCATCCATCCATGCTTAAGAACTGCCAAGTCATAGCCAGACTCAGACGAGGTTCAACAGTTAAAGACTGCTGGCACAGACTGTCTAGTCAGATCGAAAACATTGTTGATTGAACTAGCCACATTCAAGTGCGTTTCCAACCACACCAGGTACGTTACACCAGTGAAAGCACTCAAATGATTTCTCATGTATAGTTGATATAAGCTGTTGATCTCATCACTTTCATCCTCATTTGTAGCATATGTACAGTGCACTTTCCTTCCTACTTGTTTTTCTGCTGTGGGGACAGAAGAGCAAAGAAGAAAACTGCAGAAGGTTTTAGATTTCTCTCATTTTTTAATTGTTGTTAAACCATTGTTTTTTTATTCAGTTACAGCAGCACACGAGAAATACACAATGGATCAAATGTAAAAACACAAACACTCAAAAAACAGTATTTACACAAATATACAGTTTATACAGTGATTCCAGAAAAAAACATGCCTGTCAGTATATGAATGAAATGAATATAAAACTGTAAAGACTTTTTTTGCAAACAAGTTAAAAACGTTAATGTTGCTCTGCTAGTAGCAAGTAATGCATGAGGAACAAAATTAAAAATATGATCACATTAAACTAGGCTCAGGTCTCAGGTTGCAGATTTTTAGGAAAATGGGCATTTATATTGAAAGGGCAGGGGTAGTATCAGTGTCTGACATGATAGAGGGACGTTTGGGAATTGCCTGTATTTTACTGAGCCCTCCTTTGCTCATACCACCAACACACAACTTCACAATCCTCAGGAGGTCTTGTCTGAACCGAACTCCAATGAAAACATACAGGAATGGATTCAGGCAGGCATGAGTGTATGCCAGGCTCTTGGCAACCTGTCCAGCTACATCAAAACCAATTACAGTTGCACATTCAGTCATAGTAGTATTTGCTGCCTGCGCGGCCTCCACTATCAACAGACTGTTGTAAGGCAGCTGAGAGAGAACAAACACAAAGACCACAACAAAGATGACACGTAGAGCCTTGTGCTTTTCAAAGTTCCTGGCCTGCAGAAGTGTGCGAATGATGACAGAATAACAAAAGAACATAATCAGTAGAGGAACGCAGAAGCCCATGCAAATCTGCAGGCATAGCACCAGGATCTTAGTCCGGTTGTATTCATTGTTCCAGTAGACCAGAGTACAGAAGGACTGCCCTTTTTGGTCGCTCTTCACCTGGGCAAAGATAAACTCAGGGAGGGCCAGGAGAGTAGAAACAAGCCAGACACACAGGCAGACAAGTTTGCTGTAGAACAGCCTCTTTCTCTTCAGGTTTTGGGCCCTGGTGACTTGCACAATAGCAATGTAGCGGTCCACGCTAATGCAGGTGAGCAAGAACATGCTGCTGAAGAAGTTGATTTTATAGATAGCGGACACCATTTTGCAGAGACTGATGCCAAAGTCCCAGCCCTTGATGGCATCGACAGCCCAGAAGGGCAGCATGCACAAGAAGAGGAGGTCAGCCACAGCGAGATTTAGCAGATACACGTCGGTCATTGTTTTCAGGCGGTGGCGAACAGTGCTGTAGATCCAAACCACCATCAGGTTACCCACGGCGCCAAGGATAAAGATCATCCAGAAGAGAGGTGGTTCGTACTGTCCACGAAAGTCCCTGACCCAGCTTTTGTCGCACATGCCTGTGTTTTCAGTTGGCCCTGTATCGTAGTCATCTGAGTAGTCACCAGGGTCCTGCAATCAGAAACATAAAACCAGATTATCTGATATGGTGTTAAAAAAAGTGTTATGTGCAACACTGCTCTTTACTCAGTTTTTATTTCCTGTCACTGGTGTCAGCGTTTTGTATCATAACGTGCCTCTAGTGTGGATACAGTGATATGTCATCAAACGCTGTCTGTGACATACAAGTTAACCAGAGCGCACAAAGAACTGCTGTCAGGTGCAGGTGTTGTGTCTATGCAAGAGAAACCAAACCACTTCCTGCCGCTATCCAAGCCTGAAGGGGGTAAACGATCCCTAGGGGCTCCAGAAAGGGGCCCACAGCAGAACTCAGTACCCCCAGAAGCATCAACTTTAGATTTAGGTCAGAGATACACAGTGAGGGGGGGAAGCTGGGGCTTAGGTTTTCACAAACAGTGGAAAATGTGATGCTCATTTGGCTGTGACCTTGGCATTTGAGTATCCTATAGATGTCTGTATTAGATAAACCTACTGTACCTGGAGCATGAAATCATAAACATAACATAAACAAAGAAGAATACAAAATATATAATATTTTAGAATTGATTTTAAACTTTTGTTGTTTGTTTTTAACACCATTAATGGCTTGGCCCCCTCTTACTTGTCAGAGATTTTAACTTTTCGCAATTGTGGCAGGCTTGGCTCTTCGGGTCGTTTGTTAGGGTCCAACTTAAACAGTGGGGCGTCGTTCTTTTGCGGTCGCTGCTCCTAGACTGTGGAACAAACTGCCCCCTGACATTCGCACCACTACTGATCTCGGCCTTTTTAAATCGCAGCTTAAGACCCACTTTTTTAGATTAGCATTTAATTCTGACTAGGACAGTACTGTCTCTTAGGTGTACTCTTTTTATCTGCTCCTTTCTGTGCATTTCTGGAAGGCTTTTAATACCCTGCAGTGCTGCAGCACTACAGCACTTTAAATTGTATTTGTATATTATATATGTGTTATGTATTGTTTCATGGCTTTGTTGTAAAGCACTTTGGGTACCTTTCGGCTATTGTAAAGGGCTATACAAATAAACTTGATTTGATTTTTATTTGATATTTCATAAAGAGCCCTGACATGGTTTTGTTCAGACAGCAATGCAGTTTTAAGTTTTACCATTGGGTATTAACATCATACTTTATATATTACGGCCTAAACAAACATTGAGATACACATGCACTATAAACACATTTTACAACCGATTCAATCAGACATTAGCATTTTCTATATTACAGGTTCATTTTTTTTCACTTGTGTTATGGCTGCAGATAAATATCCCAAATTAATACTTACAGTTCCAATATAACTAATTTCTGTAGTCATAATAGTTGTAAATGCCTCCTCCATGTTATCTAAAAGAACCAGAAGGATATAAACATAAGACAACACACCAAAACCTTGTAAAAATATAACAAGACAAAAATATAACATATGTAGAAAATTAGGCTTAAAGGCTGAATAGAAAATGTAGAAACTTTAGAAAAATAAATATGTTTAAGTCAGTGAATCACTTACCCACTCAGTGATGAAACCTCTCAGTCAGAGTTTGTTTCTTTGTCTGGGTTGCTCAACTGGTAACTGCAACAACCAGACTCTTATATGGCTTCCCTTAACCACAAGATCGATGACGTAATATATCACACCATCACACACTCTACACCTCTCACTCTAGAGAAATATTATACTATTATACTACCCTCTGTGCTGTCTTTCGTCAAATACAAGCTATGAGCAGAACAGCACTAATAAAACATTGACAACATTGAACCAGTTTCATGGGGAAACAGCAACTTCTCACTGAACTGTGGTCATCAGGCTGGAACCATAACAATACACCCACATTCCTTCCACAGCGTAAGAGGTTTTATCGAGTCGAAGCTCGTTTTTGGCACACTTTGTGGACGCAGGTGGAGCACTTAACACCACAGATGATTGATGTATGAAATTGAAAACTGTATGGTGTGATTAAAGACCCAAGGCGGAGGAGCATAGTTGATTTTGAGATGTCAGCCCCACAGTTTCATAGTTTAGGCAGTGTGGTCTTGCACCTAAAATGACTGCCCAAGCAAAATGTCCTCTTGTGGAATGAAGAAGTGTGTGAGGTTAGTCTTTTTGGGAGGTTTTTGGGGGATTTCACTTAGAAATAGCGGCGATGACATGCCTTGGACCTAGAAAAACAACGACAACAGTAAAAAAGTAAAGTTGTTTTAGGAATAAGTCACTATTTTGGAACTGCATTTATAATAATAATAATAATAATAATAATAATAATAACAATAAAGTATATACTATACTGAGCCAAACTTTCTTTGTCAAACGATCTTTTCAAACTCCCAGTGAGAAGGTGATTTTTTGAGTCCAAGTGAGTCCAGTTCATACCCTAGCATAGGCACTGAACTATGAAAACATAGACACATATATTCAAGGATCAACTGATTCCAAATTAAAAGGCATTCATGTGACTGTCTGTCACTGGGAAATCCAAAGTTCACTGGTATTGCCAAGAGTGAAGGGGAATGTGACAATAGTCAGCTGACCACATTGGTACAAAACATGGTCAACAAGTAGAAAGTCCCTGTCATACCACCGTCACATGAAACAAAACTGAAAAAATAAGCAGTCATCCTAAAGTGACACAAGTCTGAGTTTAGAAAACCAGTGATTATATGGTCCCTGTATGTTTTGGTCATTGGATTTTCCTTTCAGAAACGAGTATTAAAAAACTGAAAACGAGTGGTTTTTTGATTTTCGTTTTAAAATACAAAAATTAAAATTGAAATACAAGGCGTTTTTCTTTTTCATGGTCAAAAAGGGATGAGCGAAATTAAAAAAATTATTCGATTTTCATTTTCTATTTCATATAACAAAAAATAAAATCACTAGAAAACAGAAACGGAAAAAAGGACCTGTTGTTTCATATTCTGAGACCGGATGTTGTCACTTACAGGACGGTGCTGTGGAGAAGAAACAGTAGGCTAGTAGACTGCGGTCAATCCAGCCGTGAGTCCGATCTCCGTGGTCAAATCAGCCGCACTTAAATTTCGAGTGTACAAGTATTCTCAGCATTTTAGTAAATGCGGAGAAACAGCGTATTTACTTCCGGTTTTCAAAATAAAGGTATTAGTAGCTATAATTAAAATATGTTTCATTAAAGTGTTTCATGCGCCCCTGATGAATAAAAAAACACTTTATATCAAGTATCTTTACTGCACCAGTGTGGAGAAATGCCAAAATAAAAGTCTCATATTTATGCCTCCAGAGATTGCATATTTGACAATATTTGAGGTACTGTAAAAACATATTGCTCAGTGTTTCCTGGCTAATGATGGTATATTTGACTTTTACACATATAATACTACAAGCATACTTAATATCAAGCATTTTTACTGTACCAATTTGGAGAAATTCAACAATAAAAGTCCCATATTTATACCTCCAAGTGGCATATTTTCACATATTTGAGCTACTGTAAAAGCACTTTGCTCAATAATTCCTGGCTATGGATGGTATATCTTACTTCTACACATCTAAGACTACAAGCATGCTTAATATCAAGCATTTTTACTGTACCAATGTGCAGAAATTGAAGAATAAAAGCTGTTGCAGGTGTGGAACCACCTGCAACAGCTGTCACACTGAAAAATATAAAAATAATATATGAGGAAGGCAAGTAATGGTGTTTTGAAGTTAAACATTATTTTTCCTTTTACCTACAAATGGACACAGCAGAGCAGCAAAATAAATAAATAAATACCTTTATTTTGAAAACCAGAAATAAATACGCTGTTTCTCCGCATTTACCATAATGCTGAGAATACTTGTACACTCGAAATTTAAGTGCGGCTGATTTGACCACGGGGATCGGACTCCCGGCTGGATTGACCGCAGTCTACTAGCCTACTGTTTCTTCTCCACAGCACCGTCCTGTAAATGACAACATCCGGTCTCAGAATATGAAAACAACAGGTCTTTTCTCCGTTTCTGTTTTCTAGTGATTTTATTTTTTGTTATATGAAAAGGAAAATGAAAATCGAATATTTTTTTTAATTTCGCTCATCCCTTTCTGACCATGAAAAAGAAAAACGCCTTGTATTTAAATTTAAATTTTTGTATTTTAAAACGAAAATCAAATAACCACTCGTTTTCAGTTTTTTAATACTCGTTTCTGAAAGGAAAATCCAATGACCAAAACATACAGGGACCATACACGGACCTTATATGGTTTGAAATCGTATTAGTGGAGTGTTTGAATCAGTTTTATTGTTGTGTTTCCTGTGAGTGCGTTTCTAACCTCCCCTTCCTCTCTAAGATTCTGGAGAAAGTAGTCGCCAAAGAGTTGTGTGAATTTCTACATAACAATAGTTTATTTGAGGATTTTCAGTCAGGATTTAGAGTTCATCATAGCACAGAGACAGCTCTGGTTAAAGTTAATAATGACCTTCTGACTGCTTCTGACAATGGACTTGTCTCTGTACTTTGACACCATTGACACCATTGACCATAATATTCTTTTAGAGACTTGAGCATCAAATTGGCATTAAAGGAACCGCACTAAACTGGTTTAAGTCATATTTATCAGATCGCTCGCAGTTTGTACATGTTAACGATGAATCTTCAATAAATACTACAGTTAGTCATGGAGTTCCACAAGGTTCTGTACTTGGACCAATACTATTTACTTTATATATGCTCCCTTTAGGCAACATTATTAGGAATCACTCCATTAACTTTCACTGTTATGCAGATGATACGCAGTTATATCTATCAATCAAGCCCAATGAAATTAATCAATTATCTAAATTACAAACATGTCTTAAGGACATAAAATCCTGGATGACCTGCAATTTTCTGATGTTAAACTCAGAAAAAAAACGAAATTCTTGTTCTTGGCCCCAAAAACCTTAGAGACTCACTGTCTAAAGATATAGTTACTCTAGATGGCATTAACATGGCCTCAAGCACCACTGTCAGGAATCTTGGAGTTATCTTTGATCAGGATTTGTCATTTAACTCCCACATAAAGCAGACCTCTAGGACTGCCTTCTTTCATTTACGCAATATTAGAAAAATTAGACACATCCTATCACAGACAGATGCAGAAAAACTAATCCATGCATTTGTTACTTCAAGGCTGGATTACTGCAACTCTTTATTATCAGGTTGCCCCAATAAGTCCATTAAAACGCTCCAATTAATTCAGAACGCTGCAGCACGAGTACTAACAGGAACTAGAAAAACAGATGACATCTCTCCTGTACTAGCTTCTCTGCATTGGCTCCCTGTAAAATGTAGAATAGAATTTAAAATCCTCCTCCTCACCTATAAAGCTCTTCATGGTCAGGCCCCTTTATATCTTAAAGAGCTCATAGTACCCTATTACCCCTCTAGAACACTACGTTCTCTGAATGCTGGGCTACTTGTGGTTCCTATAGTCTCTAAAAGTAGAACAGGAGCCAGAGCCTTCAGTTACCAAGCTCCTCTCTTGTGGAACCAGCTTCCAGTTGTGGTTCGGGAGGCAGACACCCTCACCACATTCAAGAGTAGGCTTAAGACATTCCTCTTTGATAAAGCTTATAGTTAGGGCTGGATCAGGTGAGTCCTGAACCATCCCTTAGTTATGCTGCTATAGGCCTAGACTATCGGGGGATTTCCCATGGTGCACTGACCTCCTCCCTTCCTCTCTCTTTATGCACTCATTCATGTCCCATTAATGCATGTTACTAACTTCACTTCTTCCTCGGAGTTCTTGTGCTTTCTCGTCTCGCAGGTTCTCATGGATCCTGGAGGAGCCTCCTGCCATGGTCCTGCTAGATTGCCATTGCCAATACTGTTGTTGCTGTGCACCTGTCTGTCTCTCTCTCTCTCTCTCTCTCTCTCTCTCACCCCAACTGGTCGAGACAGACGACCACCCACCTAGAGCCGGAGGATCTGTCCTAGGTTTCTGCCTTTTAACAGGCAGTTTTTCCTTGCCCTTGTCGCCAAGTGCTTGCTCATGGTGGTACTGTTGGGTCTCTGTAATTAATGTTTTAAAGAGTTCGGTCTAGACCTGCTCTATTTGAAAAGTGTCCTGAGATAACTTCTGTTATGAATTGGCGCTATACAAATAAAATTGAATTGAATTGAATTGAATTGAATTCTTGGTCGACTGTTTTGACCTTTGGTGAAGGGTCTCAGTAGGACGATGAGATGTATCTTCTTAGGTTTCACTTCCCAGCCTGATATAGCTTTTTCAATCTTAGCATGTCACGAACACTGGGCCGTGAGCTCTTTAGATTTCTACCAAATGCTAGTTGCGTTTCTCGGTTTTGGTCACAGTGAGGCACAGGGAAACGGCCATGTCATGATCCGATGAGTATTTTCCTTCTGGGCACAAGCTGTTGAAGAAAGTGGCTGACTGAGAGGTTTCACACACACAGAATCCCTAACCACCATAGTACAGTGGTAATTGACTGTATTGCTTTCATCTGTGGGCATATAAAATGCAATTTCTGGATAACAAGTCTCTCTACCACCGTGGTTTCCCCCCCAGCACACAACCAAGCATGACAGACTGTTCACAAACCAAAAAAATTTCTGGCTGCACATACATTTAACATAAATACTCAACTTCCCTGTTTCTTTGCTTGGCTTCTCTAGCCCATTTTTACAGCTCAAGAAAGAATAATCACAGCCCCAAATGCAAATGTGTCTTTTTGGTATGTGTGCAGCAGCCAGTCGAGATCCCAGAGTGATTACTCAACAAGAACTGAGACAATCAACTCATCTGGTGCTACTCTCACAAGCCATCTCTTCACCTCTCTCACTCCTGCAGCTGAATGTTAACCATACCTACCTCCACACATATATTGGCACTGCATGTTGGGAATGTGAGAAGTAGCAACCTGGATGTGTGCACTGTGCACAGTGGAGGTGTTGCCGTGCAAAAAACAACAAAGGGTGATGCAGGTGACAGAGTGAACATATAGGCCAGCTGAATAGTAATGTGAAAGTAATTTCCCCCTGTGATTATTAAAGTATTTCTGATTCTGATTCTGATTCAAAGACAGTGGAAGGGACTTCACACTTTATTTATACACCTACTTGTATGTACATTATAGTGTTTATTTTGATCTTTGTTCAGTTTTGTTGTCCTTGTTTTTGCAGCTGTACTTCGATTGTTCTTGGAACTTGGAATGATCTCACAGTCACATATGAATAATACATTGTGTCTTCTGCTACAGTCACAGTCACTTTAACGTGTAGCTCCACAGCTGCTGTGTGAGAACTTTCTACGCTCTACGTAACATAACTTTAATTTTGAAATGTATCATGATTTTGAACTATACGATCAATATGTCAATGTGGAGCTTCGTCACTGCCGATACATATGACACATATGACCTGACAGCCCTCTTAGTGCTGTGGTAGTCAACATTTTGGGACGTTTCACATGTGAAACTTTTTTTTTTTTCATAAAGTGTAAGTTTATAAGAATACACAGTTGTGGTAATTTAATAAAAAAACAACAATAAAAAAAACAATAGTAATTGTAAAGTAGGAAACACAGGGCGCCCGGATAGCTCAGTGGGTAGAGCTGGCAACCCATGTACCGAGGCTGGGTCCTTGCTGCAGCAGCCCAGGGTTCTAGTCCGACCTGCGGCCCTTTGCTGCATGTCATCCCCTCTCTCTGCCCCCCTTTCCTGTCTGTCTTCAGCTATCACTATCATAAAGGCAATAAAAGCCCCAAAAAATATACTTGAAAAAAAAAAAGGAAATACAATGGTAATGCACCTTTGACTAAAAAACAAAACCCTGAAATGAGTAAGAACAACAATCAAATTGGCCAGTGTTCGTCTGAAATGACATAAGCACTGATGAGGTCATTGATGATGTTGATAGTGATGATGTCCTTCTGGTTATAACACACGAGTTATTCTCAGAAGTAAAATATGCATCTGATATCTGTTCATCTTGACCTTTTCAAATGGGCAGATTATAAACTAGGCAACCCCTGCTAGCTGAGATCTGCAAACTGACAGTACCTTTCTTGATCTCTATTTTTAGATAGGCATAGGCCAGCCACATGGTCACAACCCACATGTATATAGCCATGGCCTACTGATCAGAAGATAAAGCTGAGGAGCCAAAAGGTTTGTCACAGAGATGAAGAAATCTTTAAAAACCATCATGGCTCTATATAGAGATCGCAATGTCAGCCACTCCATCTGTCGGCACGTCACTTTGGTCCAGATTGAACTATCTGAACCACTATTGGATGGATTGCTGTAAACTTTGTATAGACATTCGTGGTTTCTGGAAGATGAAGCCTAACAACTTTAATGCACCGTGGGCTTTTTCTCAAGTGTCACATTCCAGTTGATATTTGTGGTTTTGAATGAAATGTCTCAAAAACAATTGAATGGATTTCCATAGAATTTGGTAAATGCATTCATGTTGCCCTCAGGGTCATCATCTATCTAGCACAATCATCAGGTCAACATTTTAAACTGTCCAATACTTTGGTTTACGATCCAACACCTGCAAAACAAATGTCATTCTCATCAGCCTTATGCACTTTGGGCAAATTAACAAACGATAGCATGGTGCTAAACAAAGATGGTGAACAATAAACCTGCTTAACATCAGCATGTTAGCATTGCCATTGTGAGTCTGTTAGACTGTTCATTTCAAGATTTCTCCCATTTTCTTTTAGTTGTGTTGAGAACTATTGAGAATGTGAGCCTCCAAGTCTTTTGAGACATTGAGCAATATTAATAAACTTGCCCTTTAAGAGAGACCATATAACTTAAACCATGGTGGGCTCAATTGACTATCACATAACAGTTAATAAAGCACAGGTAGAGAAGCGTAATCAAGTTCTTTATGTAGCTAAATGCATCTAAAGTTTCCTAACATTAGCTAACATGAGCCACCATAAGCTAGCGGTGATACCAAGGCAAGTAAGGGTTGTAGTAGCACAACAATTGAGAGCACTGGATTGAGCAACAGTATGTTTTTTTGTTAATGGGGAAGAAAGTCTTGTTTCTTCTTTCAAAAGTCACGTGGGAGAAACCACGTGATGGAGTAAAGAATGACCGAAAGGTTGAAGCTATTAACGTTTAACCGTTTGATGGTTGTGATTTTCAGAGGAACTGAAAATCACTGCATTGTTTTTACATGCAACACTCAGGGTGGTACCATACATTCAAAAACTCCATTGAAATGTGCATATTTCTCCAGTAAAAGATCTGCCTGATGATTCTGGAGAAAAATCAAACAACAGAAGCTCTCGTCTTGCCAATGAAACTGAGAAAACCCCTTTGATGCCTGAGCAGGAAACTACTGTGAATGGATACACGCACGTCTGACATATATTAACAGTTGCCCCGTATTGAGCGAAATTACTGTCAATGTTGCTGCTCTCAGCAGTGCAAGAGATGGAGTTTGGTTCTGACAGTAACTTTTCACCACTTCCTGTACCTACTACTCGCTGTGATTTATTTCACGCACTGGTAGACAGCTTTTGCATCCTATGTGAAATTATCAGCAGTTTTCCCATGACAGTTAAGCTTCTGGTAATAAACAGATGCATGCAAGCAAATGTAAATTCCCATGTATAGTCACACAAATGCAACATAATAACCTCCTTTTTCTGTTCATTATTTTGTCATGGGAACAAACAGGGGGGTAAGATACATCTTTTCATACACATATCACCTTTTATCTCTTGGGTTTTGACAGGAAAACAAAAAAAGATTTAAAGAATATTGTTTGAACCACTTGTTTTTTTCATCACCCCACCCCCTTCTTTTCTGCACCTATAGGAGGTAAAGCGCACACAGCTTCTGCACATGGTACAAAACCAACAAAGGTTTATGCTAGGACAGACTGTGGCTTGAAGAGTTTCAAAGAAAACAACAAGGGGTTGACGGTTGACTGGTGGCCACTATCTCAATCAGTTGGGTTAACATAGCAAAAACAAGTCTTTTTCTGGAGACTATGACGCAGATGAAGTGATTAAATGTGTTGAATTCAGAACACATACACCATTGCATTGCTAAAGTGCATGCATGCATGCAGGAAGTGGACAACGTAACAGTTATAGCAGGATATTAACACAAGCTTTAGCCCCTCAGACAGAGATTATAAAATCTACGTATGAAAAAAAGACACTGGAGCAGTCATAGATGTATTTGGCCTGTGAGACCATACTATTGTTAATACATGCTGCAGTTTCAATTTGAAAACAGCTCATATTAAATCCTCTTAAATATCTATATTTGTTAAAAGTAATTGCATGAATTGAGGCCATATTTTGACGCTGAGATCATACAGTCCCACACCATGTAACTGTGCAGCCTGTCATCATCTATGAAGAAAGGCATACACTTCAGTGATCTGTGAACTATTGCAGTATGGCGCCCCCTTGTAGTACCAGTCAGCTCTGTCATTACCTATTATTTCCTTTTAATTATTCCACCTTATTGTTTATCGGTGTCAAAACATCCTGAGGCATGTTTTCAGTCCTTCACAAGGGATATTTACTGTTTGATATTTCCATAAAGGCCAGAACATGTAGCACAGGTCAAATATTAGAATGAAATAATAGGTTAGAACACAAATTTCAACCCAGTGAATTCACTGGATGTTTAGATAAAAAGATAACAAATATACCCTCAACCTAAAGTTAACAATTAAAACGATCACCACACATACACTGTATTTGGTAACAGCTTTTATTACCCCATACTTTGCACAATACAAACAAATGCACATCTAGTGTAATATAGGGTAGATGTATCATACTCTACAAGAGCATTACTTCATGAACATCATGTATATATTTATTTATTTTTTTTCTGTTACACTCCATCACCCACAGCAATACGAAAAGTACACAGTTAAAGATTCCAGACAAAAATATTCTATGCCCTTTGTGTAGGGAAGTAGGGAAATCGTTCTAGATCACTATCCATGTCACTCAATATGCGAGAGCAGAAGAAATTAACGCACCAAGTAATTTGGTATATTTTCGATGATCAGACTTTCACAGAATGTCAGATCATTGGAAATATTTGTGTGAGAAAAGTGTTGTGGTAACAAATTAAAGCTGGACTTCAAAAGCTGCTCACTATTAATAAAAAAAATTAAACTGGCTAGGGTTTGCTTGGGTCTAACTCAATCATGTTTCACTACAAAAGGGGCTGCTAAAATTAAGACAGATCAGCAAAATATCAATAATCAATTACCGGGTGCTAGAAAGCTAAATATATACCTATAACCATCTGATAGATAAGACTGCAAAGCTTCAGGCAGACAGTACATATCTGTCCAATTCAGCAAATGGACAAGGCCTCTTTAAATAGGGACGTGATAGTAATTGCATAGAGCACTGAGGGAAGTCTGCTAGCTACTGTAAGTGAGCCCCAAATTGAGACGTAGAAAAAAAAGCACAGCTGAAAAAGGCTATCATTTGTCACTACTTCATTTTCGTGTTCAGTTGTGTGCCGACCTCCCCGCGCCAGCTCTTTACTAAAGCCAATAACTACTGAAGATGCCAGATAAAGCATGAATAAACAATTCCTCATGGAAGTGCTTTTTTCTGTCTCTCTTGTCTTACAGCAGTAGAGCTGATGGTCTCTTGTCCAAGTCATAAATTTTCCTGTCACATCCTCTGGACACCTGTTTAACCAGCTGTCTTGGATAGAGCTCATTCATTGGGTTCATATCTGAAACAGACAAGCAGTACAAATCTGAAATTAGACACATTTCTTTGAAAAAAAAGCTATTTTAACAAGTAAAAATGATTGAAATGATGATTTGTTTGTACTGTTTTCAAATTTTTTGATTGTGTTTTATATATTCGTCAGGCAGTTATTGCCCTTCTAAGAATGGAAGACTCTGGAGGGAGAATGATATTTGCATTGCTTACCTCTGCAATCGTTTTCTAATATCTTTGATCTGCTCATTCTTCTTGGTTAGGATCTCCTTCATGTTGCGGTAGGCCGCAGTTTGCTGGAACTTCTTCTCCAACTCCTGCACACCATACCATATGAAAATGACGGCACAGAAACTGAGTGCACCTATACCAACGGTCTTAAAAATGCACCAAACTGAGCAGTATAACAAGTTCCAACATATTTGAACACCTCTGGGTGTTAATTTCAGATGCTGGTTACTGTCCGTTGCAAGTAAATGCCACAGTGACGTACCTTCTCTGCCAAGGCCAGCTGCTCCTGCACTCGCAGAAGCTCATGTTTGGATGAAATCAGGTTCTCCTGCAGATCCTTCTGGGAGACAGCGTTGGCACTAAGAGACCTTTCATAGTCCTCCCTTAGAGCTTCCACTGTGTCTTCGAGACTGCTGATCTCCTGGGATTTAGCAGCCAGCTTGAAGGTAAAAGAAACAACATACAAGTTAAGATTGAATGAATGGTTTAAGTGCGACTACATCTTTCCACTACTTAATGTCTACCCTATTTCTATAAACGGTGACAGACAAAAGCAACAGAGTGGTCAGCTGGATACATACCATTTGAGGTCCGAGTTAGCAGATAAAACCAAATAACAGCACATTTTCAGATGCATAAAAAAATAAAAAGTTACAAAATAGAAAAAAGCAATAGCAAAATGAAAAGCAAACTCAAAATGTCACAAGAGAAGATGATGCTACTTGCAAGCCAAGCTCCAAACAGTACCTGCTGTTCACCGTGCACCTTCTGAAGGTCTTTCAGAGCTCTCTCTGCCTTGGTTTTCTCATCTAGCGCGCTCATTGCCTAAGAGAATTAATCAGAGCATAGAGTTAACAACATAAACAATAGGCTGTGCGTTTAAAAAACATATGGCTAATTGCTATACCTGGGATTCTAAAGTCCGCAGTCTGGCTTTCAGTTTATCATTTTCCTCCTGTAGTCTCGTTATCTCCTAAAGAAATATCAAGGTAGGTGTTAATGAGTGTATGAATACGACAATGGGGATACACCTTTCTTTAATTAATCTGTAAATGTAATTCATGCAATACATTTCTTTACCTTGTTAAGAAGTTCAGACACCCCACCTTCATTCAGAGGTGCCAGCTTGGGTTTGCTTGTTTCCTGGTTTATCTAGGGATAAAGTTAACAATTTACAACTTTACAACAATGACAGGACCATTTTAAGTGCTAAAACATGTCGGCTATATTCTTGTTAACGCGAGACGCATTTTTATATCCGTCTAGTCTTGCTTTTCTTAGAAGTGTTAAGATGACTACGGTCTACCTTTTCAGAAAGGTGTGAATAGCTAAACCCATGAAAGGGCGGCGTATCGCCTTACAAAGTCGATTTTTGTTTTTCTGTGCATCATAAAACCACATGTCAACCTCAGTGATGTGTGACTGAGTGTGAAGGGCAGGCGGCCTGACATAAAACTACTAAAAATGCAAAGAAACGCTGCACTGCTCTCTAGTTACTGAATTCCACGTGGGCCTAAATATCCTTTGAACACATGATTAATGACATGTACATTAACGAGGACGTTTGAAGGTCTACCTGTGATTGAGCTGCACATTACGCTCACCTTATCGGTGGTTTTAAAGTCGGTCTTCTCAAATTCAGCCACTTGTTCCAACAGCTCCCTATACGGGTTGAAAAGAGATACAAATTGGTGGCAGAAGAATTTTTTTCCAAAATTTGTTAAGAATCAAATGAATCCTCGGTCTGTAAAACACAAAATACAGAAAGTTATTGTCGATGTTTTGAACTGAATAGAGTGAAACTTCTTTTATCATCTGTAGTATCTCTAACTGTCACCCTCCCACCACAATGTTGATGTTTATGTTTTTAGACATTTAAATCTACTATTTGGCGGTTATGTATCTTTGGCAAGGAAAATGAACACCCTTGTTCTTGATGACAGTTTAGCACTTATGATATAAGACATGCCTGTGGTGAACAGAACGTGGTTCTAATGTGGTTTTTAAAAAGCAGCTGAGCACACGTAGCTTGTGACATGGGGCGTATTCCCTGCCCTATACACAGTATCAGTCACGTAGAAAAAAGAGGTTTAGAGCTTGTTTATCCACCCACTATGTTCATATAACAAACAAAATAAGTCTTCCAAAACACACACGGCCTTTTATCAAAGCGAAAGGTTACAGAGGTCAGATGTTACTTAAAGGTGAACTGAATTATTAATTGAATTATTAACTGAATGATTATAGAAGTACTTTCAAACCTGTGCACCTGTACTGTGGAGCTTTACAATTATTTTACTGGCCAACAACATTAGTTCATAACAAGTTAACAACAGTGAGAATTCATACACTGCAGAAGTATGACTTTTATGACCTTTTGCTCTCAAGATCAGATCAGATAGTGTGAATGTAGTGAATGTGGAAAAGTCTTGCTTCTGGTAAAAAGATGAACAGTATGACTTGTGCTTTGGGCTTCAAACTGACATTCAAATTTGTATGTCAATTACCTAAATAACCTTTCGAACAAGTTTCACTGATTCCTGTAAATTGCAGCTCTGTGACGTATTGCTAATCTTGATAACAACCTCTATCTATAAGTTCTGACTGTATTTGTGCCAAAGAGAACGTTAATATATCCTTTTCCGAAATGCCAAGAGTGCAAAGTACATTCTGACAACAGCTCAAATGTGATTTATCTTTATTATTGGTATCAAATGTACATGCCCGCATCGCTCTATGTTCAGGCCTGTTATATGGAAAGAAAACACTCCAAGGCACTCTTGGCATCCTTGCTTAGTAGCAAGAGCTAGACATTTGTCTTTTAGGTGATTCTGTTTTACTGTATAGACTTCATTTTATCATACGTAGCCACAGACTTTGTGCGCCTTCACCACTTTAAAAGTAGCACACATGAGCTGCTAATAATCAAAAATAATAATATTAATTTTAGAACTAATAAATAAAACCAATTAAATAGCAGTTCAATAGATATTATAAATGTGTAACAATACGTAAAATTGAAATTGCAAACGAGTTAGTTCACCCAAATTACAATTTTTTTTTTTCCCATTTTAACTAGCAAAGCAGATTGTTTTACTTTTAGTTGAAACATTTTTGAGATATCTTCTTAAGACTTTTGTAATTTAATATTTGAGAGGCTAATAGAAACTAAAATTTCATTTGGAGAATTCAAAAACTCAAAGGCGCCCTCAAAAGCCTGCCTATCAATAGTTTTCATTAAGAATGAAATTCTATTCATACTTTAAGATTCATTCTACTTACCTTTATTATATTGGGCTGGTGGCAGAAGACTGAAAGTATCATTTCTTAAAATATAGAGAGAATGTGGCAGATGTTGTGGTTTCAGGCTAACTGAACGTGACTGCAAAAAGGAAACCATTGCAATGGAAAAAAAGGGTTAAACTCACATAGTGTGTGCGACTATGTGGCTTGGCAATGACCTTTTTACCAGGTATGTAACATGTAAGAGATCTGAGCCTTAACAGCAGTGAGGAAGTGGTGTGGTACACAGAGTACACCTTCATGTTCATGTATTACGTATTTAGAGGCCTAGTTCATTTCTTACTTGGTGTGGTACTCTGTGTGACCGAGACCTGTCACATCATTTTAAATTAGAACAGCACAATTAGTTGAAAATATCTATCTATATATGAACAGAAAACATGTTGGTTTTTTATACAGACAAATGTCAAATGTTTTCATGAAAATTGTAATGCAAAAATTACCATTCCCTGTATTTATGAATCCTATCACAATCATAATAACCAAATAATAACAATATGTTTTTTTCCCCATATCATTCTTTTTTTAAATATAATTTAATTTGCCCTACTGCCATTGCATCAGAGCCCCCAAAGATGAGAGAGATTTAGATAAGAACGAGATAAACATTTTGCACACTAAATAAAAAATATTATCTTTGAGGACTTTGGAAGGGCTGTATATTTAATAATATCTGAACGAGAACATTTTGTACTCTTGTGGGAGCAAACCTGACTATGTCACCTTTTATCAAATGTTCGCTGGGTGCTTTTAGTCTATTACCTTAACAATTAACAGCTCTTCTGAATCTGAATCTCCCTCACAGCTCACCTGTTCTCCAGCTCTGAGATATCACTCTGCAGTCGAAGATAAAACTTCTCGGCCTGTGAGAAGAGCTGCCTGAGCAGCAGCACATTGGTGTGGGCTGTGTTGATGAGCTCCATCTCCACCTCCCCACGCACCACCACCTGCAGCCCATCCAGCATCTCCTTCACTTCGTCCACTGTGAAGGTTTCATCCACCAGCCTTCAGGGAGAAGCATACATACACACACGTTAAAAGGTCCACCTGACCTGAAAAGCACTTATTTGTTGTGTTATATATTTTTACTTCTGTTAAATATGAGTCTTAGGTTAATTAAAGAGGTATTTATGTACAAACAATGATACCAAAAACTTAAGTAGGACCAGTTACCTGCTATCCTTGAGTTCTTCAAAGCATGAATCAATAGTCTTTAGTCTCAGGACCCTCTTTGAACGTGCAAATCGCATATAATTGATGACTTCACTCTGATGGTGTTCATTAAACCCAAATTCAGCCTACATGGAGACAAGAAGACAGAAAACATGTTTTTTAAAAAAAAAAAAACAAAAAAAAAAGATCGTCACCAAAGCTGAAAGATGGACAGAGAGGGACTGTAATGAAACCACAAATAGCTTATCAGCTACCTTCAAGAGGATTTCCCCCCCCGCTAATATGTGACAGGGCCTACCCACATGAGCTTGCACATAATACATACAACGTGCTATCTCTGGGGGACGCTCGCTAACTCAACTAACTACTCGTCTTCACATAAAACACAGCGAGCACGTTTAGCACGTTTAGCTTCTACATTCAAACAGGTGGGCTGGCTATCCATAAACAGCAAACGATAGCAGCTACTCACCATTGTGGCTGTGGAGCAAACGTTAATGTTACTAAGTCAGCTAGCTTGTAGACCTGAGAAAATCCCAAACAAAAATGGGTGTTTCAGCCTCTAATTTAGGCCACGTAGCGAACTGAGCAGAAGCTAAAGTCGCTAAAGCAGGTTGTCGATGGTCCTAGTAAACTCTTTTATACTTAAAGTTAATCTCGGTGTGTGCGCTCAACGGGGGTTGACGTTATATCATAGCTATAAGATTATCTGGCAGATTGGCTAGCCTAGCTATCCAGCTAGTGTTTGCCTTGAGAATGCCTTGGTAACGGAGAATAGCGTCATTGCCTTGGTTACTAGAGGTGCGTTCAACGGCGCTGCGTACATCAGGGAACACAGAAATTATATGGTCATCATCATTACTAAATTACGAGATATACGGAGTTAATGCAACAACATTGTTATAATAGCAACATTTTATATATATAAAAAAACATTTTCACCTTTCAGAAGTGGTATACGATGCAAATTGTTATTTTGCTGAGGGTCAAAAAAGTGTTACTTAAAAACACAAACAGACTTTAACTGGCTATTTTGTGCTCATATCCTGTTAACTTGTAAGAAAAATGTTTGTTTGTTTAAAAAAAATGTTGTCTGTTTTCTGAAATGGCTAATTCTTAAAAAAAAAAGATTATTTTTTAAAAATTTTTGTCAAAACATGATGACCACCAGGTCTGAGTATTTTAAAGAGGGTATTAAAAAATGTATCTTACATGTTAAGGGGACTGAATGTGTCTTGCTGTAATGCCTCGTCTGCAGCAGTAGATGACAGTATAGAGTTGAGAAAGAAGCGTGAGAGGAGCACAGGGCCTGACAATTGTAAGGCATATTACATACAGTAAGTATGCAAGTAAGTAAGTGAGAGTACAGACCTCTGCTGTTCGGTAGCAGTCAGCACCGGGAGCATCTTCTCTCACCTGTGACCACCAGGTCCCTCACGTGTTCAAGCCCTGCTACAGATGTGTTCACAGCAAAGCCAAGCTCAGAGGGGCCTAATGCTCCATAGTGGACCAAAATATCTTGTTGTGGCGTACACTGATTTAATTGCTTGAGCCATTTCTGTTTGGGTATAGGGGTGAGGTTATGTGGAAGTGGAATAAGAGTAGAAGCCATGATGAGAAAAGGCTTTATTCTTGACCAGTGGCGTGCACAGGGGATCGCCCCCCCTTGTGGCCCAGTTGTTGAAAAATGCGTGCTAAACTGCCCTCTTGGGAGCCAAAACGCATGCTAAACTGCCCTCAAGTGTGCTCTTGAGAGCCAAACGTGTGCTAAACTGCCCTCAAATGACCTCTTGGGAGCCAAATTGTGTGCTAAAGTGTCCTCTTGGGAGCCAAACGTGTGCTCAACTGCCCTCAAATGACCTCTTGGGAGCCAAAATGTGTGCTAAAGTGCCCTCAAGTGCCCTCTTGGGAGCCAAAATGTGTGCTAAAGTGCCCTCAAATGACCTCTTGGGAGCCAAACGTGTGCTAAAGTGCCCTCAAATGACCTCTTGGGAGCCAAAATGTGTGCTAAAGTGCCCTCAAGTGTCCTCTTGGGAGCCAAAATGTGTGCTAAAGTGCCCTCAAATGACCTCTTGGGAGCCAAAATGTGTGCTAAAGTGCCCTCTTGGGAGCCAAAATGTGTGCTAAAGTGCCCTCAAATTAGCTCTTGGGAGCCAAAATGTGTGCTAAAGTGCCCTCTTGGGAGCCAAAATGTGTGCTAAAGTGCCCTCAAATTAGCTCTTGGGAGCCAAAATGTGTGCTAAAGTGCCCTCAAGTGTCCTCTTGGGAGCCAAAATGTGTGCTAAAGTGCCCTCAAGTGTGCTCTTGAGGGCCAAACGTGTGCTAAACTGCCCTCAAATGACCTCTTGGGAGCCAAATTGTGTGCTAAAGTGTCCTCTTGGGAGCCAAACGTGTGCTCAACTGCCCTCAAATGACCTCTTGGGAGCCAAAATGTGTGCTAAAGTGCCCTCAAGTGCCCTCTTGGGAGCCAAAATGTGTGCCCTCAAATGACCTCTTGGGGGCAAACGTGTGCTAAAGTGCCCTCAAATGACCTCTTGGGAGCCAAAATGTGTGCTAAAGTGCCCTCAAGTGCCCTCTTGGGAGCCAAAATGTGTGCTAAAGTGCCCTCAAATGACCTCTTGGGAGCCAAAATGTGTGCTAAAGTGCCCTCTTGGGAGCCAAAATGTGTGCTAAAGTGCCCTCAAATTAGCTCTTGGGAGCCAAAATGTGTGCTAAAGTGCCCTCTTGGGAGCCAAAATGTGTGCTAAAGTGCCCTCAAATTAGCTCTTGGGAGCCAAAATGTGTGCTAAAGTGCCCTCAAGTGTCCTCTTGGGAGCCAAAATGTGTGCTAAAGTGCCCTCAAATGACCTCTTGGGAGCCAAAATGTGTGCTAAAGTGCCCTCTTGGGAGCCAAAATGTGTGCTAAAGTGCCCTCAAGTGCCCTCTTGGGAGCCAAAACGTGTGCTAAACTGCCCTCAAATGACCTCTTGGGAGCCAAAATGTGTGCTAAACTGCCCTCAAATGACCTCTTGGGAGCCAAAGCGCGTGCTAAAGTGCCCTCTACAGTGGTTAGGACGCGCTATATGTGCCCTTTTTTTTCTTTCCGCCCCTGCCCTTCAAAGGTCTTTGCACGCCACTGTTCTTGACACTTTAGACTTGATTTTGACATTGTACTGACATTTAGACTTTCTTTTCTAAGTTATCTACGTTAATAAATAAGGAAATCTCCTTATTTAGACTAAACCAGATTACCCTCACAGTACATTTACATTTACTATGCTACTCACTGGTTGTTGTATTAAGTAACAGGAAAAGCTTTAGATTGTGATCGCAAAATCAGGCCACTGATCAAACCACAATGACATATCTGACACCAGATTAAGCCATTGGCAGCATGTTTTGTAGCATTAGTGTTTTTCTTCTATAACTTCAAACATTTTTCATAGATAATCATATAGCATCCACATCTCCCTGTCTCTCAACATGACTGCCTGTCCATCTGTTAAACTCATTTGACTCCATGTGAGCCAAATAAAAACTTCATAGGGACTCAGTTGCACCGTCTCCTTATTCCCTGTCACTGGAGCCTAAAGGACATCGCTATCCATTCTGTTAAGGAGGTTTCTAAGAAAAAAGAAGGAAACTTTTTTCCCTCATGTCTCTCTAGCTGTAATTAAATTAGACTAACGGGCAGCGCATGGTTGGTCACCTAATCAGATGCCTCATAACGTGACCACTCTGTGCTGCCCCGCTCATGTTCACTGTGCAACATCAGTCAGTCACAGAGGCCAAGATGTTTCCCCTTTACCTGCAATCGCGGTGAGTCACTTAAATTTGACACAGGGACTAGACACCACTAGGTTAAAATCATATTCTGAAGGGTTGTAAGTCATAGATTACTCTTCTCAGTTTTTGTGAGTGTCCCATATGTTGTTGCTGCTGTTCTACAGTGGTCAGTTAGACCATGGCGGTTACTTTTCTTTATTCACATGTATTTCAGCTCTTGCGGCAGAACCGGAATAAGTGAAATCCAATAATGTCATATGTGCAGCTCGTCTATGAACTACTCTGGCAAACTGGCAATGAAATTAAATTATAGAAGAATGTGGGTCATTGCAGAGCGAAAGTATGCAAAGAAAATAATTAAATGAAAGCACAAAATGTAAACAATAAACAAAAGCCTTGTAATAAATCATTGTGGGCTTTTACAAACCAGCAGCTGACAGATGCATGTGGAGTAAACTTTAGTGGATAGGATAGGATAGGAAAAACAATGGTTTACATATATTTACTTAGTTAAGGTTGTGGTTAAATTATGTGTACTCATTTTCTTTTCAAGTAACTGAGGGACTCACTTGCTAGCTAACCACCTATAGTTGATATATATTACTGTAAATGGTGAACCTCCAGAGATTAGTTTTGCAAAGTGTTTATAAGTTAATGACCTTAATAACCTTAAAATCACTTTATTTCCCCATATTTGTGTGTGTGCCTGCATGTGCATGTGTGTATGTGTGCCAAGTACGTTTTTATCCTATAGTCTCAGCTTTCATGTAGGAGTTAAACTTGACAAATACTGTAGACTGGCTGGACTTCACCCTGACCAGAGGTATTGCTGCATTGGTGGGGCAGTGTCCCTAGAGGGCATGATAATCCTTATTACCTCGTGTATGCTTTTACCCAGCAGGCCACTGACACTTGAAAAAGCTGCAAAACAAACAAACAAAAACCCTTTAAGAGTTCTTTCAACCTCCTATAAGATATCAAAAGGCAAAACATGCCGAGAAATGTCAGTTTCAATTCAGTTTCCGAGTCCAATTTAGCATTGTGACTGTCAAAATTGAGTTATTGTCAACATCAGTCCATATTTGCTCCATGGAAAATATGTTCGGTGTAATCTATGCAGTCGTTTATGAACCCAAATGGAAACTGAAGATTCTCCAGTCCGCATGTAGCTTCACACAAATAAACTGTTCCGAGATCGGTTTCGACTGTACGTATCAATACAAACACCAAAAAAAAACCACGAAGAACAACCGATCCCGGGTCAGCTGTCTCCACCATTCCGGATCCAGACAAACCAATCAGCTGACAGCCGCATGACAGGCAGGCCTCGCGCGTGCGCAGTTGCACACTCTTGGTACCAGGAATATGGCAGCGTCCTGAGCCCTGTTGTGGGGAATACGCCGTAACTGAGCACCTTTCAGCATCATAGCGGGAAAACTGAGACACACCGGCCGCACTCAGAGGAGGGTGGGGGGCTGAGGGACGGCTACGAATAACACCCGTTAGCGATTTTACAGGTAAATGCACCCTGCCACCACCTGCCACTGTCTTCAAGCCATCTTCTTCCATGTTTGCCCGATTGAACCCCGCTGCTAATGCGACCAGCTAATGTTAGCTCTCTCTCTCTTCTCTCTCTTCTCTCTCTTCACTCCCTCTCTTCTCTTTCTTTCTTGCATTTGACAGTCAAACGCTGATAACATTTGATTGTGTTCAGGTGGAGCAGCAGCGTCGACGCAGCTCTCACCGGTCCTGTCTCGGTTGTTTTTAGCCCGACAGTTAACCCGTGTAGGCCCGCTGCAGTGGAGCAGAGTTGGGCTGAACGCCTGAGAGCCAGGTGACGTTAATGCTGCTTGTCATGGATTTTAAGTTACCTGACAAATGGACCTCGCCTTTTCTAGCTGTTTTTAACGCATTTTTTTTTTTTTTTGTATCTCTCTAATCATGCGTGGAAAGAGCCGTGCGAGTTTTTTTTTTTTTATTATACTTTGCATAAATCCCTGAGAGAATATAGGGT